CAGCAAGCGGACCTGACCTAGGGTGGATTTTATATTGGGTTTTTTAGGAATTTGAAAGACGCAACTCTAAATTTGGTTTAATTCGGTTTTAAGGGGGGGATTGTATATATGTTTTGGTTTTAAGTATGTTGTGCGCCGCCCTGAGTCCCGTCGGGAGAAGGGCGGCATATAAATTAAATTAAATAAATAAATAAATAAAATAAATTATTAGTAGTAAAGTATAATTTATAGCTTAACTTAGTTTAGTTACTAATCTAGGGGCGGCTTGTGGATTATTTAGTAAATCTGGTTTAAAGCAAATTATGGTTTAATATACTATGTGAATACAAATGGTATTTATGGAAAAGTACCTCTTGAAGAATGCAGATATTTTAGTTTCTTTTTGTAAACAGTTTTCCTCAAAGTTCCTTTTATTTTATGTACTTTTTACAATTGAAAATACTGCTGTAGCCACTTAGTTTCCAGGTAGGGCATCACTAAATAGTAATGGAAGGATTTAATTTTTGTCTGAACCTCTTTTAGTATTCTGTCGTATGTGATGTGATTTGGAATATGACCATTCTATTAGACATTAAATACCCCTTGGGATATAAATACAGGGAAGAATGTTTTTATAGGAGAGAAAAAAAAGCCCAAATGAAATTTATCTCCCCTGAAGTCTTTAATATTAGACCGAATTGTGATATGCATATTCAAAATATCACTATATATCTCCTGTACAGACTTAAATTTGATCTTGTTTTCAACCTGATAGAAAATGCAGAACAGATGGTGATGCCATCAGATGCTGTTCTAGATTTAATATGTTAATGTTTTAAAAATAGCCATCAGCAGCAGGAAAAGTCTCTAGTACGAACTAAATAATTCTTTTTAGGAGTCCCATCCCGTGGCACTTCTGGGTTGAAAGGATTAGCCACTGACATCACCGTCGCCCTTGTTAATGAGCCCCATTTAATTGGTACCTATTTATCTACTTGCACTTGCATACTTCCAAACTGCTAGGTGATCTGGGACTGTTAAGCTAATACACAATATAGCTCTGTTCATCTGAGGGAAGGAGATCACTGCTGAAAATAAGCTGCAAAAACTTAATTATTCAGTGGTCTTTGGGAAAACTGTGTCCCTGGTAGAATATAGACTTCTCTTTTCCTCCCCTTTTCTCCTTTCCCTTTCATTAGTTTTTTTTTATCCTTATGCAGATATATTAAAAAACTATCCCAAGTTTTTTTGTTTGCGATATCAAGGAATCCCCATTTCATAAATAGAATTCTGCTCAATACATCTCTGGATGTATTGCAATAAAATGAGACCTACAGACGCGTAGTGAGGTTACTATTACTTCAGTCTCCCTGACAAATTTTGTAATTAATACTGAATTTTGCCATTTTCAAGTCCAAAGATGTTATTAAGCTACTAGTACTTTGAATTTAAAATATATTTCCTGAAATTTGCTTAACATTACTGATGGTCAGATTGATTTGACATTAATTTTTTCTTCCTCCATAGGTATTCATATCCATTTTTTGGCAGTGCTGCACCCATTATGACAAATCCTCCTGTGGAAGTAAGAAAAAACATGGAAGTATTTCTTCCACAATCTTACTGTGCATTTGATTTTGCAACTATGCCCCATCAGCTTCAAGATACCTTTTGCAGGTAACTTATGTTCTGAGATATTGTTTTAATAATGGATACATAAATATGTTCACTTTTATGCAAACTGTATGGTATATTGGAACACAATGTTTCTCTGTTAACACAACATGGTGGCCCATATAGCCGTGTCTGTTAACACAACATGGTGGCCCTTATAGCCATGTCAGTTTAATTTTGGCACTTTTTTCTCCTGCTGCTTTAACAGTTTAATGGACATTTGGATTTGTGCTTCTAATCTTGGAGGGAGGAGGTTTTGGTTATTGACATATCAGTACTACTATTCTTTTGGTGCTTTTACTAATATTGTTCATTAGCCCCTTAATTGGTTAAAAGGTCATTCTTGTTTGTAGCCACTAACAAGGCCTTTAAAAAAAAAGATTATTCTTGGGAGCAGCATGTCAGGTAAGGAAATTCATGGTGGAAAAAAGGATTTCATTATATGTCCAGTATTCCAATCTTTGCCTGCTACTGTCATGAAAAGGATTCTGTATTTTATCATGTAGTGACCCAGATTAAACAACTGAAGCCTATAAAACTAGCAACGCTTATTTTAAACTGAATGTACTTTTAGAAAATAATACTTGTCAATTGAAAAAGTAAATATATCAGAGCGTGTTTATGAACACTGATAGCTATTGTGACAATGCAAATATGTTACAATGAGCTTTCAAATATCAATGGAAATGGAATGGAAAAATTAAAATAACAACTGCATTGAAGTTCCAATCTAAAATTGCCTCCTATTTTTAGAATCGTAAATCATAAAATGGCAGATGATGTCTAAAAATATATTGTAGTACTTTGATTTCTTTTAGGATGAATTGCCATATCAATTGGGTAAATCACAAATATGTGTATCTTTAAATTTTCAAGTGATTGTATTTTTAAAGCATTTACTTATGCTTATTTGTTTATATTAAAAGCAAAACAATCTTAATTAATATGTGCTTATTTGTTTATATTAAAAGCTAAACAATTTAATTAAAATAATTTAACTTGTGGGAAAAAATATAGTTGTCTACTGCATTCTTCTGTTCCTCTTCTGTATAACCAGGTTAGAGTACTTATAGTTTGCATCTTAATTCCAAGCAAAGTGACATTTGAAAAATAAAAGATGCATACTTCCACTGAGAAAAATAGACTGACAAAAAAAGTAGTTTCTTGTAAATTACCTATTTTCTTCCTGTATTTCAGGTTACCACTGCTGGTGGAACTGTGGCATAAAGATAAAACAACTAAAGACTTGCTTCTAGGAGTTGCAAGACTCCAGCTTTCAAAGATTTTGGCCATGGAAAAAACACGTTTTCTAGGAGGAAATGGCGAGCAGTGTTGGCGTCAGACCTTCAGTGAAACTATTCCTTTTACAGCCGCACAGGGGTAAATATTTTGAAAAATTGGGATTCCTACAGTAAAGATCAGTGTTTCTAAATCTCAACAACTACGATGAACAGACTTCAGTTTTTAATGTTGGGTGGAGAAATTCTGGGAGTTGAACTCCATACATCTTAAAGTTGCTAAGGTTTAGAAACACTACCATTGACACGTTCTGTATTATACAGGTAGTGCTTGCTTAACAACTTCCTTGCTTAGCAGCTGCTTCAGTTATAAGGGCACTGAAAAATAACTTTACGACCGATCATACTTAAGACTGTTGCAACATCCTTCAGGTAATATGATCGAGATTTGAGCCCTTCACCGTTGGAAGACATTTATAGTTGTCAAAGCGTCCCCAATTGCATGATTGCCATTTGTGTGCTTCATAACTGGCTTCTGACAAGAAGAGTCAATGGAGAAGCCTCCCTTGACTCCCCTCACAACTGCGGGTGATTTGCTCAACCATCACAGAAGTGAAGTTGTAACCTCATTACTGTGACATGATGTCTCACTTAATGACGGTAGTGCTTAGCAATGGAATTGGTGCCAATTGTCATTAAGCAAGGACTGCCTGTAATTAAAATGCAGCATTTAGTTTTATATAGATTAGACTGAAGAGTTTACTTTTCTGTTTTTCTACTTTACAAATCTGTTTTTAATGATGTAATATTTATTAAATTATTTCATTATTTAATACTTATTTGATAACTTAATATAGTGCATTAATACTTTGTACACCTTTTTTCATTTTAGGAGAATTTGAATTCCAAATTGTATTTGATCATTTAGATTTGATATTTCAGTATTGCTAGTAAGATAAATCATGAATCGCCGTGTAGCCAAATATAACAGCCACTAGATGGCACTGCTTCAAATCTAATTAGCTTTAGCCCCTGATGCAGGGAAATATTTTCCTCTATTTTCTAATGTAATTAACGCTAGTTCTCTGCTTAGGTTGGACTATTTCAGATATCCTGTTTATATTTGTTTTTCTTATATCTAGATACTCAATATTTTATTGTACTTGCATAAGGAATTATTAGGTATTAATGAAAATGAGTGGGGAATGTAAACTGTAAATAAAGGTTTTGCCAAGTGAGGATTTCATTTTTTGACACAACCAAAACAATTAAAAGAGCCTATAATTCATCAAGATTTGTCAACCTATATCCATACTTGCAGATTTTACAGGATGTCAAAAAATTTGGTTTGGATTTTTAAACTGGTTTTCCTAATTGTTCAAGAAAAGAAAGAGTAGCTTAAAAGGCTAAGACTTTTATTCTTAAAACATTAGCACTCTTATATGGACTAATTAAATTAGGGTGTCGTGCTATATACAATTGAAGTACATATGGATATATCTTAAGATAAATACTAATAGAATTTGAGGACATACTTGATGTACTATTAAAAGTCTAGCTAATATATAGGATTAATAATCATCATCAGAGTCTCCTATTGGAGCATGGGCCAGCAAATCTAATGCAAAATAATTCTCTGCTTTTTGTTTAAATGTAACACATCTTGCAAATCCTGTTGGTCTTTCAGCATGTACCAAGTTATCTCAATTTTTTAAAAAATCATGTCAAGATGTAAGAACCTGAGCTTTTAGAAGAGTCTGGGAAATTCTGGCAGTCTTAAGAATAGCAATATAAAAGAATGCTTTTTTTAAAAAAAAACATACTTCCAGGATTAAGAGGGAAATCCTGTTTAATGTCAAGATATGATAGCTATGTAGTTTTATAATTGAAAAATGTTTATCTCTCTCTTTTATTGTTTGTGCAAGAACTTTCTTTTATGGCTAAAATGTGTTATTTGCTTTATAGGCCAAGCAACAAGATTGCAGATCTTTCATATATAGTGACTCTAGAAGACTATGGACTTGTGAAAATGCATGAAGTTCTGGTGTCTGATTCTTCTCGGGTAAATGAATATGTTTCATTTCAGGTTGAGAGAGAAAGCATTCCATTAGAAATCATTTGAAAGTATTTATTGTACTCCGTGTTTAGTGTTTAGGTGCTGATGAGCTGCTAGGAGTTCCTAAAGTACAGCCTGAAGTCCATACTGAACCAAGAGAAACACTGGAATATAAAGCAGCACTTGAACTAGAAATGTGGAAGGAGCTACAAGAAGATCTTTTTGAGAATCAGGTTATTTCATAATTTTTGTAGCTGTTAAACTGTGGATTTACTTAGATGAGTGAAAGAAAGAATAACCTCCAGTCCTTTAGCTACATCATACAACTGCATTTGCTGTAATGTTGGGCAAGCACAATGAATGAATACTTCACATGGTTTGGAATTCTTCAATATAAAAAAAAATCAGGCTGATACATAAAAGGTAACCAAGTAGCATAAGCAAAGAGGAAAACATTAGTTGTGGCAATACCCAATGCAAAAGGCAAGTCTAGAAGCAGAAGGCTCTTAATGCAGCCTTCCTACCATGTTTCCTCAAAAATAAGACCTGGTCTTATTTTATTTTTGTTTTTTTGCGTCCAAATGAGGCACCATGTCTTATATTCAGGAGTTGTCTTTTCCACTCATGTCGTGGCATCGGCAACAACAGCCCTGCCCAGCTAGCCCACTTCTTGTGTGGCCAAAGGAGCAGCTTCATTCTGCAGCTGAGAATGGAGCTCTGGTCTGCATTTTACCGTCAGAGGCCTTCCGGAAAGGCCTCTGCAGCCGAAAACTGAGCTAGGAATTGAATCCATAGCTCGGTTCTCTCCATAGCTCAGTTCTCAGCTGCAGAGGCCTTCCAGAAATGCAGGCCGGGGGATGCTGTAGAACAGTGGTTCTCAACCTTTTTAATGCCGCGACCCCTAACCGGTCGTAAGTCGACTAAACTGGTCGTACATCGAGGACTAAACCGGTCATAAGTTGAGGACTAAACCGGTTGTAAGTCGAGGACTACCAAACCGGTCGTAAGTCGAGGACTTTCCCTGCCCGGGAGCGCCACGCATGCGTGGTTCCACCCCCTGCGCCGGCCGAGGCGTAGCTGGCAAGCGGCAGAGACGGAGCAGGCCGACCACCAGCTGGCCCAGCTCAAGGGAGGTAAGGCACCCGCCGGAAAAGGGGAAAAAATGGCGGACAGCCTTGCTTGGCGACCCGTGAAATGGTCGATCAACCCCAAATGGGGTCGTGACCCATAGGTTGAGAACCGCTGCTGTAGAAGATGTGGACCATCAAGAGGCAGGCTGCAATGGTAAGTGGGTGCAGGGCACATGGGGCAGCTCTACCCCCACCCCCACCCCATCCTAGGGCTTATATTTGGTGTAGGGCTTATATTAGGGCCACCCCCAAAAATCAAGCTAGGGCTTATTTTCGGGGTAGGCCTTACTTTCGGGAAAACACGGTATAAACAAAAATCAGAAACATCAAATTGTTCCCAAAGTCTGTCAATACTTAAATGTAGAGTAACTGAAAAGTAGAGGTTAAAAGCACAGAGGAAAGCCAGTGTGGTGTTTTGGTTAAAGTATTGGATTAGGACCTGGGAGAGAGAGAGGTTTAAAGCCACCTTCAGGCATTGTAATTCACTGGGTGATACCACACATCCACCCACCGAAGCAGCAGATTGCGTTTTATAGTATCTGGCAGTGGAATGTGCAGGAATCTGCTTTTTTCAGTATAAAAAGCAATCTGCTGCTTTGGTAGGTGGATGTATGGTGAATCACCCAGTGAATTACAATGTCTCCATCCAACTTATCCTCCAGGATTTGTTGTGGGAAAAATAGAAAATATTCATGCATGTCATGAATATCTCTTAGACAATAAAGCAAGGTACACATTTAATGATTAATTGAACGTAGACATAACCAAGGTGTGGTAAAACAGAGAGATCCATGATTGAGTTCTAGGGTATGAATAAGAGCTTTTTAGGTCACTGATCACGTGATTAATGTGGGGTAAAATTACAAAAACTATTCTTCCAAGAGATAAATAGGCAGAATACATAAAACAAAATGACCACGATAGATATTCAAAAAATGTTTACTTGCTATTGCTTCAGGATTTGACCAGGTTTTAAATTATCTAATTTTAGCTATTCTCATGAAATGCTTAACTAGAGTGGGGATTTAGACGGGCAATTTCTCTTACAGATCATGATTTTCATTATGATATATTGGAAGTCCAGAATATTACTGTTAATGTTTTTATCTAGCTGCTCAGAATCTCCTATTCATGGACTTTCTTATAATATTGCAAAATCTACATATTAAACTAAGTACCAGGAGGAAACCCAGAAAAATACAAATTATATGGTGTACGTGCACAAGTACTTGTCAGTAATGACTCATTAGATTTAGTTTTTCACTTAAAGGAACTATCCATTGGTAATGGGTCTTCAAATATAATGTAAGTATTCGTTGTTATAGCTGATAACTTGGACTGTACATGATATAATAAGTGGAAGCTTTAATGATAGAACTGTGTAAGTTGTCTTTTTATTCAAAATAAAACAAAACAGTGCTTTTTGTAGTTGAAGAAGAAGGAGTTGGCTCATATGCAGGCCCTGGCAGAAGAGTGGAAAAAAAGGGATAGAGAAAGAGAAGCTTTGGTAAAGAAAAAAGTAAGTGCTTTCACTTTAGAATTCTCATATGTCATTGTCTTATGAAACCATTTACCATGATAATCTTTAAATAGGAGCAGTACCAAGAATTTTCTGTAACTGGTAAATTGCATAAAAATACTATAGGTAGCTCATTTTAAAAATAGAATAGAATTTATTACTATTCACATGTTAAGCTGCATTATTTTTTATTCCTCTTAAGTGCATAAAAAGTGTATAAAAATGTCTATTTTCTCTAAACAATAATGGAGGTACAGGGAATCCATTTCATTCATTTTATACAAATGGTTCACCAAGTCTGAAAGACTATTAAATAAGACATACACAGAGTTATAATTTAGGAACTTTTGATTTCTTTTTGATACAGAAATTAAGGTAGTCTGCCATTGTTAGAAAAACAGATAATCTATATTGATACTTCAGAATTCAGTATGTATGGCAGAGCCTAATTGTGCATCTTTAATCATTCATTTTCTTGGGTTTCCGTGGTATTATTAGTTTTCCTCAACAAAGTTCAAAAGCACCAATCCTCTTTCTGTCCTGCTTCTTCAAAAGTTAGAGTATCAAAACTATGAGACATTCAACTAAAAGGACAATATTTAGGCTAATTTTTTAGAAATATTTCAATATTTCCCATTTTGTGTACTTTACTTTCTTCTATATACACCTTAGGTTGCAGAGTATACAGTTTTGGAAGAAAAACTTCAAAAAACTTTAACTGACTTAGAAAAACGTGAAAAACAGCTTGTCAGTGCTGAAACTGAGGTAAATGGATGCCAAACTATGCTGTCCATTGTACAGTACATTAAAAAAAAACCAGCAACAATCATTTTCTCACAGTGATTTCCAGTAATTTTAAGTATTTTTGTGTTATACTTTTTGCCAGCAATATGGATCTGGGTTTTTTTCTTCATAGATCCTTTGAAAATTGGCATAAAATGCCATATTTTATTTTCTATGTGTAACTTTTGCTGATTGACAAGGTATATCTTTGCATACTTTTATCAAATGTTTTAAGACCTATTTCAAGCTCTCTAGATAAAGATAACTGGATAAAGTGATAATGTAGTTTGTTAAAAAAGTTAGTTAAAGAGTTAGCTATATGCAGTGATTTTTGAGAGTACAGAGAAACAAATGGACTCATTTGTAAAGTAATGCCAAATATTAAGTTGCTCAGATATGAATGTGTGTTTTCAAATTGCTTTTATAAAAACTCATTTTAAGCTCCAGCGGTTAAAGAAGGAGCTCCAAACAGAACATGAACGAAATCAGCAGGAAGTTCAAGATACAATACGGCGAGTCAAACAAGAATGTGCACACCAGATTGAGTTGGAAAGGGTGAGAATTAGGCAATTTGAGGAGGACAAGATCCGTGCACAAGAACAAGTACGTGCTGTTTATATTTTCCAACTTAACTAAATTATTCATTAATTCTAGAAATAGATATAAATTTTAAAAGCAAATCTACTAGTGCTCTCAATTCAATTAATAAATGTCTAAATCAGGGGTCTTCAAACCTGGCCCTTTTATGACTTGTGGACTTCGACTCCCAGAATTCCTCATAAAAGGGCCAAGTTTGAAGACCCCTGGTCTAAATTATCTAAGAATGGCATTGCTTACTAAAGCATCCCTTTCTTTAATCCTGAAGATCAACTGTATTTACTTAACACTAGTTTCTCAATTGTTCAGCGTCAGGCTTTGAGAGGACTTGACATTAAAAACCTCACGGAACAGCATTTTTGGATCGATTACATTTTTGGATCGATTACATTTTTGTTTGTTTTGGTCATGTGGATTTTATCCACATTTTTCATTTCCTACAGCTTTCCCATCTGTGTGTGTGTGTGTGTGTGTGTGTGTGTGTGCATATGTGTGTATTGGGAGCTGCCTTGTACATTCTTTGTTTATAGGAATTATTTTTTTCCTAGTCATATGTTGTTTTAAACTTCATTGCAGCCATTCATAAGTAAAGCCGTACATTTTGTTCATATTCAGCAATTAAATTGTTAATATAAAATGTAAGGATAAGACAATACAACATCAGCTGATAGTAACACAAAAAGATAAAGCCAAGCAAAAAGCAGTACATTTTCTCCTCTGCCGCCACTTGAAACAAGAGCAGAGATCCGGCATATTTTCTAAGAAAGAACTTCCACACAAAGACAACGTTAAAAATTGTTTTTAATGGTCAAGCCAAACATCTGGCTGTACTATCCCTAATAGAGACATTAAGTTAACTCCCACATTCTTACCACAACATTTTTATCTTCAAATATTTGCTTCCTTTTTTTTTTTAACATACTAGGGAAGTTTTGAAATTCTCTGATTTGACTTCAAATGTTCTCCAAAAATATATTTAATAGCTTTCTACGTTGTATTGTGAAGCTGGTGTCTTTTTTGTGCATTTGGAGACGGAACATATGCTTTATATGAAAATAAGAAACATCACTACTAGTGCAGAAACTAAACTATAACAGTGGAAGTTAATCAGAACTGAGATTGATAAATAGTTATTAAAGCCATTTTGTATTTAATTATCCTCAGTGTTGTTCTATGCCAGAAAGTCCAATCGCATGTATACACATTAGCCATCACAGAATCTCTAGATTCTGCTGAGTTTAACTTGAAGTTAATTAACTTTCATAAGCAAGGTATATGTATTTTCCCCAAGAATGGTTTTATTCCACCCAGTGATGAGCAAATCAAAGAGATAAATCCATATTACCAAAGAACTGTGTCTGATGCACTTTCTGTTTTCCCTCTAAATCTGTTCTTCTAGAGGACTTCAGAAGTTCTGGAGAAATTTGGGGGGCTATGAGCATATATTATAAATGTAATATCTGTTGTGTTGGCCAAAAAAATGTTCCTCTCAGCTCTGTGTTATGGACCATCCAAGTGTTAAATTCATTCAGATTATTTGTTTCTGAAAACAGCTATACCAGGCAGAAAACAAGCATAAGGCTCTGGAGAAAGAATTTCACCAATATAAGGAGCAACAAAGTAACAGACCGGAAGTCCGAATGCAATCAGAAATAGGCATTCTAACTTTAGAGAAGGTACAGCTATTCAACTTCTAATCCCACCTCCTTTTCAATTGTATTCATTCTGAAAGCACAGCATGCATTAATAGCATTATAACTCATTTAAGAAAAGCAGGAAATCAGTTTTACATTTAACAGCCGCCAAAATGTGGATAAAGCAAAGTAACAGTTACTGTACAGGGAAACAGCCAGTGATAGTATCCCTCTGTAAGCCGTGATTTATTTATTAATGTATTGATGCATTTTTCAAATTATTATTGATAACTACAAAATCATGATTCATTCTAGGTCAAAGCTTTATTTTGATGGCTTAGTACAGAGGTCCCCAACCTTTTGGGCACCAGGGACAGGTTCCATGGAGAGAGGTTTTTCTGCAGACCAGAGGGTGTGTGCTGCCTGCATCTCGCGGATGGGGCTTTGCTTGTTTGTGCGGATCGGTTGCTGGCATGCCGCGGCCTGATACTGGTCCACGGACCGGGGGTTGGGGACCCCTGGCTTAGTATATTAGTACATTAGTACCTTATTAACCTAATATTAACAACATAAGGGCCTAGAAGCTACCAATAGTATAATAGTATACTAATAGTATACCAATAGTATAATTCAGTTTTTCATATCTAAAGCAGAAGTAGGTTTAAGAATGGACTATTTTAGAAGTCCAAATGGCAGTATTACTATAAGAAAGAACTATAATTACTATAAGAAAGAAATCAAAGAGTGTACTATTTTCTGCTAATTTTGAAGGCAGGTAGTCATTTATTACAGAAATATGATCTTTCATATTTTATTTACACAATTTGTATGCCGCCCTTCTCCCCATGGGACTCAGGGCGGCTCACAGCATATTAAAACATCGTACAAAAAAAATTTTCCCCTGCTAAAAACCAATTAAAACCCAAATATTGGTAGCTGTGGCTCTTTAAAATCGTTTAAAAATTGTCCCTATTTAAAACTCACCCTAGGTCAGGCCCGCTTGTTGAAA